CAAGCTTGTGATGAAAGCCAACAAACCAATTTTTGCTGCTGCCAAAGAAACTTTTCACAAAAAATATGGCAGCGATGAGACCATTGGCAAAACTTATGATGTATTCCTCTATGAGGGCAACAAAGATGCTTTGGTGCGTGCAGTGGACAATGGATCAGTGATGGCTTGGACACAGGATGGTGTCAAGTTTGCTGGCTATCGCCAAACCAAAGCTGGAGTTGAAAAGGCAGTGTCTGATGTGCATAAAGTTGAAAGTGGAGCAAAAGAAGTGGATGATGAGACTTACAAAGGCTTGAACAAAGCCTTTTCCTCCATGGCCTGGACCTTTGGTGATGATGAAGGGGAGGAGCCTGGTTCTTCCACTGCTGCTCCTTCAACAAGTCAAAAGATGTTGGAACATTGTGGCCTGACTGAGGGAATGAAGAAAGTGCTGAATGAGGCCAAGGGAGCCCATGAAAGGTTGCATGCTCAAGCAATGAAGTTTCTGGGCAAATGCCAGGCGCAAGATGACAAAAACAAGTTCAAGTCGACAGTGCTTGACCTGAAGACATGGATCAACCAGAATGACCATGTGTTGACTTGGTCTGAACTTCCAGGTGGAGAAGCTCTTACACCAACAGCTTTCAAGGGCTACATGACGAAGCAGCTGACCAAACAGTGAAGCTCAATGAGCAGGTGGAACAGTTCAAGGCCTTGCTCAAGACAAGGAAAGAACTTTAGTTGTTGCTGCTTAGAAAGCGCTACTTAGAAAGCAGGGTTTTGCTCAGCAACAAGGTGGCTCAACAAAATACTACACATGGTCTTTGCAATGAAAGAAACATTGTTTTAATGTTGTTCCAAGAACTACCAAACACTTGTTGCTGGAGCTTGTGGCTTGCTACAGTGTGTGATGCTTATATGACTTTTTGTGGGGGCAGTGTGGAAACCAAAAGCAAGCAAAACAAGCTTTCTCCTGCAGAGCTGAAGGAGAAGGAGGGGAGCAAAAAACAGCTGAGCAAAAAGGTTGTCAAGCTTTGCTTTTCAATATAAGTAGCATATGCTTTCAATGTTTGAAGCCAATATTGGTGCTAAGAGTGTTGAATCTAAGTAGCAAGTTTTGGTCCCTTAAGTGTTGTTCCAGTTGCACATGGGTGTGCAGCTAACAAACAGTTTTTTTGAGTAGGTGCTTTTTGCCCCACAGAAGTGAATGATATAATTTCATCATTCATTGAATGAAAGCCATGAACAAACACCAAACACAACATATTTTTTAAACAACAATTGCATTCTTTGAGCAAAGGTTACCCGTTTGTGTTTTTTTGGCTGCGAAAAAAGGGTAAGAATGCATTTCTAAGTAGCGCCACACTTCTCAGAAATGAATGATATAAGTTTATCATTCCTGCAAGCCAACAGGCAAACCAGCAACACCACACATTTTTTGGTGCACTTTGTTTTCTTGGAGCCATGGACAGCTCACCTACAAAGAGAAGAAGAAAGGGTGGACAAAGGCAAAGAATGAACATTGCAAGCAAACAAGAAGACACTGGCTTACAAACCAGCAAATTAGCAAATTTGCTGTTGGAGAGGTGGGCTTGGGGTGAAATAAGCCCTCAAAATGTGCAAGCAACAGCTGCAGCTGTTGTTGCAGACTTTGAAGCTTCCTCAGCAAAGCCACCTTCTGATTTGGCAGTGTTGGCCAATTTGGGGATCTCATGGAAGATATCCCAACAAAATGCACCACGAGCTTTTGCATTTTGCAAACAAAGGCTGTTCTTTCTCCAAGCCTTTTTCTATCAAGATGGGATTCAAACAGCCTTGGGCTGAGCAATTCCAAACAATGCTATTGCCACGTGTTGTGTTCAGTGATCTTTTCCATCATTACCCTGATGCACTTCAGCAATATGTCTGTGCAAGTGACAGAACTCTGGTGGAATTTTGGCAGCTCCAGAAGCAGCATCCAGCCTACCCAGGGCATCCAGTTTCGCAAGCTGGGTTCCAGGCCAGCAACTCCATACCTTTGGCTATGCATGGAGGTGGCACCCCTGCCATAGGGGTTGGGAAGATCTGGGCTCGGATGCTCACTTCCTATAGTTGGTGCAGCCTGGTGTGTCAACCTGCTTGGGCAAAGGATTCCCAGTTTCCAATTTGGTTTGTCTTTGATGAATGCGATCAGGGAGATTCCACATCCGAATTGTTTACAATTCTGTCATGGAGCTTCAAAGCCCTGCAGACAGGTTTGTAGCCAGCTGAAAACCACCTTGGGGAAAAATATTCCACCACTTCAGAGTTGGGCAAGCTTGCTGGCCAACCACTGGCAGGTGGTTACAAAGGAGTTCTGTGGTCACTGGTGGGGGACATGGAGTACTTCAATCAAAAGCTCCACTTGCCCCGTTACGCTTTGCTCTCAGGCCCTTGCTGCTTGTGCAGGTGCAAGGGAGATGAAAGTGATGAGTCTTGGCGTGATTGCAGATTGTCTGCAAAATGGGTCAGCATGCAATGGGCTGCTGCAGAGCAGCTTGGATGGTTCAGGGCAAGAATTTTGTTCTTTTCATGTGCTTAGCAAGCTATGTTTTCTTTTTGTATCCTTGACAAATGTCTTTGAATTAGGAACCAGCTTTTGGTCCAGAGTCCTTGACAAATGCTTTTTGCATTTTCATAGGAACCAGCTTTTGGTCCACAGTGAGGTGGCTAGATTGGCCAGAGAAGCCTGTGGGTGAGCTCTTCACCAATGGCACCACAGCCTGCAATGTATCCTATGATTATAAATGCATTGCAAGTATTTGGGATGCGACCAAATTACTTTTGGCAGCATTATGTTCTTGTCGGTCTACCAGCTTTTGCCTGCTGCTGATCCAAAAGCAAATCTGGCTGTTGTGTGGAAACACTTGCTTCAAGCATACAAAACTTTTGGCATTACAGAAAGATACAAGGGTATGCGAAAGCTCACAATTTTTCAAAGGAAAGGCCAACCACCTAAGATCAAGGGCAGGGCAGGCCAAATTGCTGCCTTTGGGAGCCCCTTGCTGGCAGTTTGGTGCAAGTTCATGAATGAAGAGCTGCACATTCACAGGACTATCAGAACATTTCTGAAAATCAACATTGCCATGGAGCAAATCCTTGCTGACCACAAGGAATGCTTGGCTCTCCCTGGGACCATTGCCACTCAGTTCACCAAGCTTGGCTTTGCTGTGATGCAAATCCATTTGGAGCTCCAGGAGCACTTCTTGGCAGAAGATGTGCAGCTATTCCCCTCTTTGCCAAAGCAGCACATGTTGTTGCATTTGTGCTTGCATTCCAAATGCTTGAATCCCAAGTTAACTTGGTGCTTCAAAGGAGAGGACCTCCAGAAAATTTCCAGAACTTTGGCATCAAGCTGCTCAAGAGGTCTGCTTGGACCACAGGTGGTGGTCAAAATGCTCAGCAAGCTTCGCATAGCTTGGCACATGAGGCTCAGCCAAAGGTCTTGCCTTGATGGAAAAAGACCCTAACATGGTCTTTGCTGGATGGAAAAAGCAAGTTTGCTGTTGCATCCAATGCTTTGCATGCCAAGAAACTATGGTTTTTGTTGGCACCAACAATTGCTTCAAACAAAAAAGATGTTACTTTTTCATGCTATTTCCAAGGTTATTTAATCAAATAGACTATAGTCTATTTTTAAAATAAACTATGTTTGAGGTTATATAAAATAGACTAATAGTTAGAATATAGTCTTTAAAAAATATAAACTATTAGTTTCAAAATAGTCTTGTCTGGTCTTAGAGGTTCTTCCCCTTTCCTTCTTCTTTTTCTTTTTCTCTTCTCTTCCCTACCCCTCCCTCCTGTCGGGACCTTAGAGTGGGACGCAACTACTAGGTGCAAGGACGCTACTATGGATGATTGGCCAACTGAGACTCCCGCTCACGGCTTACCAAACTTTCCGGGAATTTCGCCGGTTTTCCTAGTTCTCACCAGTCCCAACCCTGTCCGGAGCCTAGAGCAAAAGATGCCTCCCTTCGGGGAGGCGTATGTGTGTGCCCCTTGTAGTCACAGGGATCCGTTTGGATTTGTGTTTCTTCTTTTTCCTTATTTAGCAGGGGGGGGCCAGGGATGCACACTGGACTGGCACCAACGAAGACGCCAGTGTTGTCTCTGTGAAATCAATCCGGGACGCCGGATTGACGTACCTGCTTGGAAGGAAACCTACGTAATGGACAAGCTGTTCCAATTCTGTGTTTTGCAGTAATTGTCCAGTGCTGACTGACCTCACCGTCGTTGAGCTTTGGAGACCTTGACTTCGGAACTTTCAGCTTTGGAGATTGGCGGAGCTTTCCCTTTACTCATCTTGGTTTCTTAGGCTTTTCACTTAGGCTGGCGTGTGGCACCGCTTTCAGTTCAGTACGCATAATCATAAGTGTGTGCCCCTTGGAGTCACAGGGGTCCTGTAGGAAGGTTTTGCTTCATGGTGATTTTTCAGCGGGGGAGCGGTGGGCCTTCTTGAAGTCACCACTCACCGGAGACACTTCAAGCTTGCTGTGATATGCAATCTGGCTGCAGATTGCACATACCTGCGAGAAGATGATCAGCACTCATTTCCTTTTGGGCCCCGTTGTATCTAGAACAAGACATCCAGCCTTTGTATCGGTTCTTCATCGGCAGACTCTGCACGTTCCGTCGTTCTTGTCGTTCGATCGTTTCGCGGTTGCAATTTGAAACCTTGGAGCTTTTGGATGTTTACAGAACTTGGAGTTGTGGAGGTTTGAACCGCTTAATTTTACTCACCCTGGTTTGCTTAGGTTTTTCACTTAGGCCGGCGTGTGGCAACCGCTTTCAAGTCTGTATGCATTTCTATAAGTGTGTGCGTATCTACCGTTCACGCTTGATCCTGACACCATGTTTGCATATTGCGAACTCTAAGAAAAGACATGATGCAATATCAATATGTCATAGACATAGAGTCATAAATTGACATAGAGTCATAAATTGTAGAGCGTCATTCATGAAACCCTCAACTAACACCAGACCCACAATCATCGCCCAGCCACATCCTCGACCTGCAGCTGCCAGGGCATCGACATGAATCAAGCACTCTCTCCTTCTTCCACTGTTGCACAAAAAGAAGTTCCACGTCTTTTCGATCTGTCCACTCATGCATAAACGCTGGAGGAAATTGAACGACGGGGCCGTGTAGGTCTCAGGCAGCCTCTACATTTCAATCACCAATCAAGCCTATACAACAATATACACATATATAGAGGTGGGAGCACATGGTCAAGCTCAAACCCCTTACATGCAGCTTCAGGTGCTAAATCCCGCATGTTTGGCATCATGCTGGGAGGTCGATTGAGGTCGTATTTCTCCTAAGTTTTCAGGCAATAAGTTTTTGAACAAACGTGATGTGATGACCAAACATGAAAATATGTGGAAAAATATGGAAATAGATATATATATATATACATACCAGTAAAAAAGCAAAGCAAATAAATACAAATAAACAATGAAGAACAAACCAAAGTAGTTTGATTCATCCGTTGTGGAGTTCCATGCAGACTCAAGATCTGGCAGGCTGCTGTCTCTGCCACAAATATGGGACCCAACGAAGGATGGGTGCCATAAACAAAGTTCCTCGTTTGCGCGCAGTTGACGCAGTGTGCTCGAAAAGAACTGCAAAGCCACCTTGCCACCAACATTTTGTGAGAACGGCCTCACACGGGCCTTGCCCGTCCTGCAAAACTTTATCGGTCATGCCTGCACTGAATGCCTTCAAGAAACTTGTTTCCACCACAAAGAATGTCTCTTGCTTCTCGTGCCTGCATTCAGAATCAAATTCTGAAGGATTTTGGAAGGAGCGCTGTTCCTGTCGTATACATTTCAGTCAAATGTCATTACTTGCCCCTTGCATTCTCGTGGCAAATAGATGTAAATATATATATAGTATTATATAGTGAAATCAGGTCCTACTTCTCCTGTCTAGAGGACTTAGTGCTAGATAGACTTGGATAGCGCAGCGTGTGAAACAAATCATAAACAAGACCAGCCTTTACTGCATTATCCCAGATGGTGAAGCGGATGAACATCGCCGTGGTGACGATAAGGACTGTGAGTTTGATGATGCTGGACAAGTCCATGCCAGCCCACGTCTTCCTGGAACAAACGACCAGTCGGCCAGTGGCTACGAGCGTTGTGCAAGGCCGGCTGCCAGCTATCCGCAAAAGCCAAGTGCCCTTGTCATAACAACTGGAGCGTTGAGTTCTAGCGGTATCAACTCGTTTGGGCAAGACAAAGGCGCCTGCTGCCACCATGGAATTCACCTGGGCCGGCAGTGCTCTGTTTCTGTCTGAGCCCCCAGTATCCCCACATTTATGGGGCTGCCAGTCAAGGTGCGAATTGAAGAGAGGTAATGCATGGCATGCTTCGGTGCCAAAACCTGCGGGACCGTAACGGTGGCTCTGGAAGCTCCAAAAAGAATTGGTGGGAAAAACTTGGCGTGCGCGCTGGAAGTCTAACTTCTGACCCCACATATCACATACTAGAAATCTGTCCTCAACTCTGCACTCGGCACCTTCTTCACTGACAACTTTTGAGGGTGGAGAGTTACATAGTTAAACTGTTACCCGACCCATCTCGAGCACGCGCTGACACTTCATGGGAGCCGGTAACAATAATTGGTGCACAGCGTTCGCATCGCATTCGCTGCGACCAGGTCCAACGACCTGGTGGAGCAGCTGACGGTGAAACGCTGCGGCGAGTACGGTCAGCACCGAGTGTACGGTCAGCCTGGACACTGGATCAGGATGTTTGGGTTAGGAACAGCCTTGCAGGAATCGCCACGCGAACGATCGAGGCAGTAACTAACCCCTGGGTCACTTCAGCCAGCCATTCCGAAGAAACCACTGTCGCGTCGCAAACGAAGCATTTCAGCTTCCTTTAGATTTTAACCCTTTTGCTTGGCTCAATTTTGGGGCCTGTGCCATGGTTTGGGTAATTTGTTGTGGAGGTATGTCTATGTATTTAATTAGTCATATCATGGCTGTTGTTGTCACTTGCTCTTGTTTTATCTTGTGGTGAGGCGCTTGGATCCCAAGCGAACACAAAGGCACCTCTTCGATTTCGATGTTCGCCGAACCCGAACTGCACGGTCCGCATTCTCGCTACTCCAAACCTTATTCGCGCACATGCAGAAGTCACCATCCAGAAAAGCCAAGAGCAAACAAGATACGTTCTTTTTCAAAGGCAGTCAGGCAGCGTGAACTCTGCGCGGCAACCACAGAAGGTGGCCAACTAGAAAATCCACGGTGTTGTGGTTTAGCTCTTCACAGTTGCACTGTACATTAATGCAAGGCTTTGCATGCAGCTGAAGATTTCAATCCTGCACACTTACTCGTCCTCCTACCATTTCTCTTGTCTGCCCAGTGCTTCCGTCTTGATTTCAATCACCGAGGTGAAAAGGAGCCGTTGGCTTAATGCCCCTACAGCTGGAAGCCACAAACAGTGAGGAGTAGGACGGGTGGAGAGCCCAGAACTTTACAGAGCGGTCCTATGCTGCGATGCCCACCTTTCAGTGCGACGTCTGGATCCCACAGAGAAGTCAACGCGGGCCGTATCATTCGCGAAGTGCTTACGCGTTCCTTTGATTTTTGTGCTGGTGGTTGCTGCGCAGAACGGTTCAGGCTGGCTTTGGGTACGCAGTCTGTCATGCCAAAGACTAGCAGCAAGTGACGCCCGGTTTGCTGCAGCTGCTTGCCTGGTTGCTGTTTGCTCTGTTTGATTGGTTGCATGCTTGCCGTTTCCTGGCCATATAGTTCAGATCATCTGCACAGAACCGCACATATCCAGACCCGCTCAAAAGGTTAAACTGAGTTGAGAAAATTCGTCCCGGCGGCTCAACATACAGTCTGGGAGCACATTGAGCAAAAGTCTATGACTAAGATTCTCGGCGAGACGGCGAGAAGTTAAATTACACCAAAACAGGGAGGGTCAATCTAGGTCAGGTGCATATTTATATTTAATTTTCTGCAAACTCTCTGAAGGCTGCCAGGAGTCAACCTCCAACCCTGCCTTGTAAAGCAAATCGTCGATTTCCAGGATAAACAACAGTGCCACAGCGTTTAACATGATGTTGGTCACATCGCCTGTGGGCTCTCACGAGCGGATGGTGGGCTACCTCACCATGAGCCCCCCTGGCAGGACCATCGCACACCACTAACATGACTTTGGCATTTGATGGTGTCCCAGGTTTAGCATTGGGTCCAGCAGCCTGTTGCCAGTTGTTTTTGGAAACACACCTTCGAAGGATGCAGCTTCATCCTCAATCAGCTGCAGAATTGCAAAGAATTAACACGAGGTTTTGCAAATGGCCCTTGGATGCCCTGGGTGCATTCTCCCGAGTTCTCCCGACCTCAGAGACAAGACCCAGCTCCTCTCACCAAGGTCCACAGCCGGGACAAACACCAGCCTTTTGCAAACTAGGATCAAGAGACGTGAAATTGAGCCCAGTAGCGGGTTTGGCAAAGCCACCATGCACCCGAGAAACCCAAGATCACTGCGATGGACGCGCGGGAGAGGACCACGAAGCTGATGGCACAAAGCCGAAAGTAGCTGATGGATTCAAAGCGACGGTTTCCATCCTGGCCACAATAGCTGGGCGACAGAAAGCCGGTCAACAGAACGGTCACTGGTCAAGCTTGAGAACAACGAAATATGATTCATAATAATGTTCATATTAGGTTTACACACACATACATATTAACATATGTATATATATATTGTGGTTTAAAAGAATATTCTTAACCCGAGAAGCTGCAAAACGAAAGCCAGCGTTGTTTGTCCATTAGCACGTTGGTGGTAATTTTGGTCTTGAACATAGAACACCATTGGACATTCGATAGGCATCCCATATTTTTGGTTAGCTATCCTTTTGCCAGCCCCGGGCCTTTTGCTTGAAGAGAGATGGTAAAAGTGCAGCGGTAGCTACCCTGGGTCCGCTACCCTGAGTCCGCGCGCGTGCACGCCTTGCTGGCTCTCGGTCTGCCCTGGATTTAGGTGCGCGCGCGCGATATATAGCACTTCAATCTCGTTTTCCGTCAACCGCTAGCGTGACAAACGCGCAGCGTACCCAGGGTAGCTACAATTCGGTTACCAGGTATTGTACTTCAAGTTCCTTTTCCGTCAACCGCTCAATACCCGTTAGAAACGTGCAGCAATCTACGGCTTTGAAATCTCATGCGTGCTTTGAACTTATATGTGTGTGTAAGAGGTATAGCAACAAAGCATGTATACGGACCCAGGGTAG